ATGTCTATATGACCCAGCCCCCAGGTTTCCTTGATCCTCTTACTCCTCATTATGTTTGCAAACTTCACAAATCTCTTTATGGTCTCAAACAGGCTCCTAGAGCCTGGTTTGAGAAATTCACTACTCATCTTCACACTTATTCTTTTCATGCTTCTCCAGCTGATCCATCTTTATTCATTAGATCTATTTCAGGTTCTCTCACCATCTTACTTCTTTATGTGGATGATATTATCATCACTAGTAATGATTTCACATACATTCAAACTCTTAAGTCCAATCTTAATAAATCTTTTGATATGAAAGACTTAGGTCCTCTTCATTACTTTCTTGGAATACAAGTTCAGTTCACCTCTACAGGACTTTTTCTTACTTAGCAGAAATATGTTACTGATTTGCTTCACAAAGCCAAGATGGTTGATTGTAAGCCTTGCAAAACACCTTCTGCAGCCTCCTATAGACTTAGCAAGACTGTTGGTGTTCCTCTACCAAATCCTTCGTTGTATAGAAGTCTAGTGGGCTCCTTACAGTATCTTACATTCACTAGACCAGATATCACTTATGCTATTAATCATGTCTGTCAATACATGAGTCAACCTACAAACATTCATTTTGCGGCAGTCAAACGTATTCTCAGGTATCTTAGAGGAACAAATACCCTTGGTCTTCTCTATCAACCTAGTTCTCTTAGTCTTTCAGCATTTTCTGACGCTGATTGGGCAGGAGATCCTACTGATCGCAGATCTATAACAGGTTTTCTTCTGTATCTGGGTGATAATCCTATTCACTGGTCCACTAAGAAGCGATAGACTATCTCCAGAGCATCCACAGAGGCAGAATTCAGAGCACTTGCTCATACTACAGTTGAGGTTATTTGGGTACAGAAACTGCTACAAAGTCTTCATATTCAACCTTCCTTTCCTCCCAAACTTTGGCATGACAATATTTCCACTTTGGCTCTTGCCTCAAATCCAATGTTTCATGCCAGAACCAAACACATAGAGATTGATTTTCACTTTATTCGTGAGAGGGTAGATCAAAAATCTCTTGCAGTCCATTATATCTCTACCAAGGATCAACTAGCTGGTATTTTCACCAAAAGTCTTCCCACAACTAGGTTTTTGATGCTCAGAGACAAACTTATGGTTGTTCCCCCCCCCATAAGTTTGAGGGGGTGTATTAACCAATTGAGCTTCCTCACTATTAGTTACAATGAACCTCAACACACTGCAGCAGCTCAACCAAATCCAGCTAATCAACACATGTGAAACTGTTGTAACTAACTCCTGTCCAGCTCAGCAAGATCTGTAACAGAGTTGACAATTTGTTAGTCTAAGAATTGTGTATAAATACAACATCATGTATAGATTAAGTTGTAATGAAAAATAAATCAGCAATGAAAGTTCTCTGTCTTCACCTTCTTCATCTTTCTGAAACTGTGTATTTCAACACAAGAGAGATAGGGGTTACGGTTAAGGGTTTTAGTTTTCTTTTCATTTTTTGGTTGGGGTTCAATTGGTTTTAGTTTCTGACCAATGAGAAAGGTCAGAATTATGATTAAATGGGCTCAGTAGAAGATCTAGTGTTTCTATTCTGGCCCAAAGCTTTGTGCCTAAGAGGCCAATCCAGATTCGTCAAAAACTACACGTTGGGCATGATTGTTGGGCTGATTGGCAGCCCGAAATGAGCTCCAAAATACATTCAAGGGCTGTTGACGTTTGGTCTACCACATTGTAACGAATTGAAGCTGGGCCTGACTTTAATTTAAGCTTAGTCCATTTGTATTCTGTCAAACCTCTTGAGATTTTTATTTCGGAATATTGACCATGCATTCAGTGTAGGGTTTTCTGCTATTAATGCATTTAAGATTGTTAGATAAACGTAATTTTATATAGGAGACATATCCACGATTTAGGTTTATATCTAATTGTGGGTGGACCCATTACGTGTTTGTTATATTGTGCCAATGAGCAATTAGGGGTGGATATTCAGCAACGATGCACTCTCAAGATCATGCAATATTTTTGAAAGGAACCACCAGGGAAAAAAGGAAAAGTAGCTGGCAACCCTGCAACAGGATCGAATGGTCATGCAATCACTTGATTCATGTATGTTGGACTTTTACATCATAGTCTTGAGTACGATCTATCAGTCTGTTGGGAGCTGGAACATTAAATGTTTCACTGTGGTATCAGTTGTACCCCTCACTTTGGCAAAAATGCATTTGTAATTTTTGTCCTGTTATTCTCTGTTTTACATTTTCTTCTGCACGACTCTGTAAAAGGGTACTTTTAGCAAATTCTGTTTTACATTCTTCAGTGACTCATATTATTCCTTTCTGTTTTGGCATGTCCTAAGTGAAGGGAAATAGAGACATAGTCATGAAAAATAAATGAAAACATAAACAAGCGGACCTAGATATAGTTTTTTTTTTTTTTTGATTAGAGAACTTGGACATAGTTGGATGGTGTAGTAATTTGGTATAATGGTAAGGTTGTTCCATTGTGGTTTCAAGGTCACGAATTTGAGTTAAGAACGGAAACCTCGTGTATTGGGTATGTCTTTTTTTAGTATTTTTTATAAAAATTTGAAATATATAATATAATTTTTTTAGTAACTCCAATAAAGTAAAGAGTTGGATAAGAATAAAGTGACCATTAAAGATACTCTTAGGATTTGTTTGGATGAATTTTAGGGAGGGGTTTGGATTGGTTCTCCCAAACCCAAACCTCTCTCTGCAAAGATAGGATTTAACGTTCAAACATGTTCATTCCTATGTTTGGTATTCAATACATACACATGTAAGATTCACGAATATATCATAATTATTCACAACTATTTATCCTGTAAATGACTATTTTATCCTTGATCAATGTAATTCATACCCATGTTAAATGATACAATTATTTGTTAGATTTTTAATCCCTTACTCATCTTCCCAAATCCATCCAACCCCTAAATTTGACGAAACTCATGATCACGAGTTTAATTTTCGAGCCAACTACGGGCCGGGCTTGAAAATCCGAGACTGAATTTTTTATACAAATATGAGATTTGGGAGTTCTTTAAACTATTTTTCCCAAGAGGAATGTAACATGGACTTAAAAATTAGACTTGATAATTACAATTATTGATTTCACTGTAGGTTCTAACATTTATTGAGACTCACTGTCTATTCAATAATTACAATTATTTTATATAATTTTTATATCTAATTTTTAAATACATGTAACATTACTCTTTCCCAAAACCCATTTTATCAAACCCCCCCTATCCCCTTACCAAATAGTCTGTACTAATTTTGAATTATCAGAACTCACAGTAATATACTGTCGACTGCAATATTATATGTCTGGGATTTAGTACCGTTAATGGTAAGAATGATGCCCAATTTTCAGGTTCATAGTTCCTTAGCGATCAAAACACTTATAGCATAGAGATTTGGATGATGTCTTATAATTGCAGACTCTGGAGTTTTCCTCCAGGAATTTTCCTTCTACGAAGTTATGAAATTATGAAGTGTAACTGCAATCTCATTGTTGTGGTCCATCCAGAAAAGGGGGTCCTCTATTAACTCTGCACGCTCAATCTCTATCTCTATGCAAGCATACAGATAATGATGGGGTGATTAGTGACTCCTTTGGGATCAGACTTCTTACAAGTCACTGAGACAGCTACAATTGCTAGCACGTGTTTTTGTTTTTTGGTCAGGTGACCTGGGTAAGTGTTGGGATTTCACAAGATTTAAATTCACTAACAAACACACACAATTGAAGAACAAATCAAGAATATAAAGTAATAAGAAACAAGAAAGAACAAGACACAGATTTTACGTGGTTCGGCAATTTGCCTACGTCCACGAAGTTGCAGGGATTTCACTATTGAGAGAGTTGAATACAGAGAGCGGCTGTACAATCCACGATTAACCCTAATCACCAAAACAACAGGATTTATATGTCCTACGCACTGGGCTGTATAACGGGCCCAAAAAAAATTTTTCTCGGGGGCGTTGCCCCCGAACCCCCACGAGGCTTGTCTATGAGCGCTACGGCTTGGGCCTATCGGCCCAAGCTTTCGCTCCATAAACTAAACCTCAAAAAATTTTCCATTAAAAATCATACAACATTATTTCGAGGCGGGTCATCATCTGGATCACGTATACAAATTAGACTCCATAAAAAAAAACCAACAGTAAGTTTACGATACCAAATTATGATACTATGTTGAAGTTATTAAGAATGTACGATTTAATATGGTGAGGTTACTAATCCTAACAGTTGAGGAATGATTTCAAAATTATTTTTTCAGAACTTATTCCCATTGAATCATAACTTGATCTGAGTTGTAACTATTTTCTGAACCATCTTTGTCATCATGGGTTGCAGCGTAGAGATTAAGGCGAAAGAGTTTACGTATGCTCGAGTTTTACAGCATAAGTACCAGCTTGTTGAAATGGAAACTGAAACTCAAGTGGATTTTACTGCCAAGAAGCCAATCCTGGACAATCAATGAGACGTAATTCGTTCGTTTGTCGCCCAAAGGTGAAGAGATTACTTATCATTCACTCCCTTTGTTCAGTAATTATCTCTAATTGCAGACCATTGCTTTTGCTATGTACTATAAAGGTCCAAGTTTTATTAAACAGATCAGATGGTTCAGTGGTCCATATATTCATGGTTATTCAAAAGATTGCCCGAATAGCATTAAATAAGAGTTATCGACAACAACCACCAAAGTAGGAATAAAGGTCCCTAATGAAAGGAGAAAAGGAGCATAAAGGTTGTTGTCTTAATTGAACCAATTAGAATGTATGGTTCCCTGAGAAGCGTACGTTAAACCTCACCCAGGATTCAAACTACGGTTAAGAGCCGAATTTATGGTTGCAACCATAACTGAACCGTTTCATTTATTGGCGGGAACTGACCTCCCAAGTCCCCCCCTCCACTAACTGTCCATGACAAGTTCCTTTCGTTTTGTATTTCCAAAACTATTGGTAGAACCCTCTTCCTCTTTCACTCTTGCTGTCTCTCCCTGAAACTTAATCCACATTTTGCAATGAGAGAAGTGGAACTTCATGCGAACCAAAATTCCGACCAGAATGCACTTCCACCAATGGAGCAGCCACCTGAGTCAAATTCAAGAACAAAAGTGACTGTTTCATACTTTGGCCTATTTGCTGCAGCCGATACACTGGACTACTTTTTGATGTTCTTTGGAAGCATTGGAGCTTGCGTCCATGGTGCTGCACTTCCTGTATTCATTATTTTGTTTGGGCATATGATTGATTCTTTGGGAAAACTGGTTTTTGACCTTCATAAAGTGTATTCTCAGGTTTCTAAGGTACTTCGTTCATATTCCCTCACTCACTTGTGCTCTCACTGTCTCATTATCTGCTGCTAGTAAATTACCATGAATGAGATTGCTTGCATGTCAATCTAATTTTTGGGGAATAACCTATTACTTTGCATTCTTAACCAAGTGTTGCATCTGCAAAAATGTCATCGAAGGAATTTTAGGAGTTCCATCGCCAGCCCTCCCCCTCTTCCCAAATTGTTTATTTCCATTACAAGATTGGCCGTATACAATTTCCATTTTTCACTGTAAATGTCATGAAGGAGACAGACATGATATGCCTTCTGTTTGAAGACATTCTTTTGCTTGATCATTCCTCTGCCTAACTCAACTTTGTCCTAAATAGATATAGCATTTTCAGAATGTTTAAACCCTTTGAATGAAAATGCGGTGCAACTGCTTTTAAGCCCTACACTGCTAGCTCCCGCTATATTTCCTTCCAGTAATCATTAACTGCTGATCTCATCAGCATGAAAATATGGATTGGGACTCCAAATTGTTGAATTCCATATGTCAGATTGTGAAACTGATAGTTTGTTGGATGAGTGCTATCAGGAATTTTGAATCTGCTCATTTCAATACTATTCTTTAGACAATGGTGAAATCCTATGAATGTTTTGTCAGTGAGACTTAGCAGATGATCTGTCCTTGTACTCATGTTGCGGGGTTAAACATGGAATGATTTTAATGCTCACTGGAGGATAAAGGCTGTAAATAAATGAAGACCTAGTGTCTAGTGGGAAAACTTAGAAGACAAAGTCCTTGGCCTTGGTCTATGACTTTCTGTGTTTCCCTTCTATGAGAGCTGTTTACCCTATTTGGGTGGCTAAGAACTAACTTTTGCATTTTCTTCTATTGCAGCATGCTATGTACCTAGTTTATATTGGAGTAGTTGTTCTGTTATCAGCGTGGCTTGGTACGTTGTGTTCTTTTTAGCTTTGTTTGGTTGTCATACTGGAATAGATTTCTCTTTCTGGCCAAATGTTTTTCTTTCTTACCTAAGTGTAAAGTAGGGGCATTTTTGTTTGCATTATGGTTTCAGGTGTTGCTTGTTGGATGCAAACTGGGGAAAGGCAGACAGCTCGTTTACGATTTATGTATCTCCAGTCAGTGTTAAGGAAGGATATTAGTTTTTTTGACACTGAAGCGCGGGATAAAAATATAATGTATCACATCTCCAGTGATGCAATACTGGTGCAAGATGCAATAGGTGACAAGGTATGTGGGCAAACAGATGTAGTCCATTGTTTGATATCATACTAACAGCAATCATTATCCGAGTACTTATTTGGTGCTTTCTTTCTGTATCATAACACAGATAGGCCATGGTTTACGTTATCTTTCCCAATTCTTTGTCGGATTCGCCATGGGGTTTATTTCAGTGTGGCAGCTTACACTTCTCACCTTAGCTGTTGTTCCATTGATAGCTGTCGCAGGAGGAGCCTACACTGTGATTATGTCTACCTTGTCAGAAAAAGGTGAGGCTGCTTATGCTGAAGCTGGGAAGGTTGCAGAAGAGGTAAATTACATGCCTCCATCCTCAGATTTTTCCCCATTTTGGCAGTTTCTACAAAATCAGATATTGGAGACTCAATGCCCTGTATTGTTTTGTTTGCCTACTAATGTTCATTTTCAATTGTCTGAGCTTGTCTTATCAGTTAAAAAAAGAGCTCGTTTAAGAATTATGATATACATGGATTTTCTATGTTTATTGTTTGCTTGGATCAGGTTATTTCACAGGTTCGTACTGTGCACTCATTTGTTGGAGAGGACAAAGCTGTTGAAGCGTACTCCATGTCACTTAAAAATGCCCTCAAATTGGGAAAGAAGAGTGGGCTTGCAAAAGGAGTAGGTATTGGCTTTACATATGGGATTTTGCTTTGTGCTTGGGCATTACTTCTCTGGTATGCAAGCATACTTGTCAGGCATGGGGACACAAATGGTGGGAAAGCATTCACAACAATTATCAATGTCATCTTCAGTGGACTGTAAGTTTATACTAAAAATGATGTGGGATGGCTTAGTTCCATTATTTGATATCTTACTCTAATAAAAACTGAATTTGCGCTCTCTGCAGTGCTCTGGGACAAGCTGCTCCAAACCTTGCCGCCATTGCCAAAGGCCGGGTTGCTGCTGCAAATATCATAAGCATGATTGAGGAAGATTATAGCACTTCTAAATCGTCAGATGAGGGAATAGTGTTGTCAAAAGTGGATGGAAACCTTGAATTTTGCAAGGTCCATTTTGCTTACCCCTCCCGGTCCAATATGGTTTTTGAAGATCTGAGCTTTTTAGTTGATGCTGGAAGAACGTTTGCAATTGTTGGTCCCAGTGGTTCAGGAAAGAGCACTATTATTTCCATGGTTCAACGATTCTATGATCCTGCTTCAGGTATTAATAAATTTTCTAGGAGAGTCGATTTCTGCCTTTTGTTGGTACATTTATTAAACATTTGAGAAGTCAATTGCGGTGCATGAATTCCAATCATTAGGCCAAATATTGTTGGATGGACATGACCTGAAGAATCTCCAATTGAAGTGGTTCAGAGAACAGCTAGGGTTGGTTAGTCAAGAGCCAGCACTGTTTGCCACAACCATAGCTGAGAACATTTTGTATGGTAAAGAAGATGCTGATATGGATCAAATAATCAAAGCCACCAATGCTGCAAATGCACATTCCTTCGTTCAAGGTTTACCTGACGGTTATGACACACAGGTACGTTTTTTCAGTAAGTTTGTTTTTAGAGATGGAAAATGTATTATGTATTTATTGGGTATTGTCTAAAACGAACTGTTTCAACAAAATCATCCACACGAGAATTTGGTCACCTCGTGGAAGTGTTCATTTACAAACTCTGTGAAAAAGGAACTCCTTGGATTGTATTTGTGTACTCCTACTTGTCTATGAGTGCATTTCAAATTCCGGAAAGACAACATGAACTCCTTTCCATATGTATGTTTGATGGAGTTGATAAGGGATCCTAGTCGCTTGTAGGATGAAGGTGTTTGGTTGCATGTGCTGTTGCAGGCTTGCATAACGTTTTTTATATAGGAATTGTATTTTCATCAACTCTTCAAGCTTTGGTTTTCCTCTTTCCAGTTGGAATATGTGGTTAAAATCTCTCGATATTAATTAAGTTATGATTGGTGGTCAAATCTGGAATATATAAAATCTCAATCCGTTTGTTAAATATTGCATTATTCATGACATATATCATAGATACATTTTTTGTGAAATTATTATGTATTAAATATTATTTTATAATGATGCATGCATACATATATATTACATTGATATAATTAGATGTTTGAGTTAGATCTTTTCTAGTCGGTATGAGTGACTTGGCTAGAGAGACTCATTAAGTAGTAAAAAACTAGTCAATCCTATTTAAAGAATTTTTAGCCTTCTTTGACCGCAAATGGTTGAGAAAATATTTGTGGAGTTGAGAAAGTATTGGAGAGTTTAAGATATTATGTTGAGTGGTAACAACTAGTTGAACGGTTAACTGATAAATTTTCCCTTATAAATAAGGTACTCTGCATATAGAGAGAACACACCAAAAAATACCCAATTTGAGAGAAAAATCATTAAAGGGAAATCCTAACTCTACTGCTTTCATATCAAAGAGAATTTTTAATTCTCAAAGACTAGTTCTCCCATTCATCAAATTTATTAAGTTTTATTTCGTAAATTTCCTATATTGGTATCAGAGCACCAGACAATCAATCAATTCTTTGTCATCAAAATATTTGTGATTTCTCAATTTGTTTGACCTAAAAGGCGTTAACCTCCATTGAAGTCATTCTGTTAAACAATCCTTTAGCCAAAAAACAAACTATTTGGCCTTTTACTCTTGACATGTTTTTCGAGACGATTTTTTGCCTAAAGTTTCTCTTCCCGACAAGTTTTACAAAAAACAAATTACGTGAATTTGAAAATTCACTAAGCTTGAGCCTCCTCATTTTATCAAATCTCTTGATGACAAAATTTTCTCTTTTCACAAAGAACTTTGTTGACAACAAATTTTGGAGGAACTTGATTATAGTTGCTGCTGGATTGAGCAATTGGTGTTGCAGTCTACTTGAAGTATTCTTGGAATCACACTTTAGTAATAAAATTAAATCGGGTCAGTTCTAACCAATTTTACCTAATAATTTATTTTCTTATAATTTATCAATATGAGGTCAAAAGATATTAGTGTAGAACTAAGCAAAATCGAGAGACTTAATGGTACAAATTATTTAACTTGAAAACGTAGGATTCGTCACATATTATTTTAAGATAAAATTGAATTTGTCATTGACACACTATACCCAAAAGAATCACCTCTTAGGGTCGGAGAGTCTGCTAGAAACACTTACGAAAAATTTGTAGATAACGACAAATTGGATAGGTCAATCTTGCTCACTTTTATGAAACTTGATTTAGAGGTCATTTTTTAGAAACATGAAACTGCTAAGTCTATGTTTGATGCTATAACACTAGTCTATGGTACTATCTCTAACACATATATTTAACTTTTGATTGAAAAATATAATGACACTTTTATGAAAGCTGATGAGTCTGTTGGTGAATAGGCCCATAAACTTGTGATAATAGCTAAATGGTTGATATTTCTAGGCAACCCAATTTTCGATAAAATACAAGTTTTTACTGTTTTACATGGTCTTCCTAATTCATGGGAGTTCGTTGTGATTTCTTTGAATATATCTGGCCAAGATTTAACTATGACAAAGTTACCTATGTTGCTAGACATTGAGGCTGAGAGAATGGCTAAAAACTTGAATTAGGCATTGAGGCCGAGAGAAGGCCTAGTTTCTAGTGCCCCATCTTCCCAATTTATCACGAGTGCTCCATTTAATAATGTGTCAACTATTCCATCTTTTCTTAAGCCAAGACAAGACAAGCATTTTAAAAGGAATAATAAAAAATATAACAAGTTCAAGAGAAATAATAATTTTAAGGGAAAACAAATGAGTACTTATTATAACTGTGGGCAGTTCGGTCATTACAAAAGAAATTGCATACAAAAGAATAATAGTAAAAATTTTAAAGGATCAAGAGATATTGTATGTGTGGTTTCTGAGTCACTTTTTGCAGACTGTGACTCTCTTGCTTGGTGGATTGATTCTATCTCTTCTCAGCATGTGGCTAAGACTAGAGATAATTTTGTTGAAATAAAGAAGGTAAAAACCGACGATCACAAGTTATACATAGAAAATAATACTTATTGTGATGTGCTTGAAATTGGAATTGTGAGAATTTTGTTGTTCGAACAAAACAACCTCCTCTTAACTGATGTACTTTATGCACCTAATATACGGCGCAATCTCTTGTCTGTGCCACAATTAGATGATAAGGGTTTTAAAATCCGTTTTCGGTCTTGTAAAGTTNGACGAAATCTCTTATCTGTGCCACAATTAGATGATAAGGGTTTTAAAATCCGTTTTTGGTCTTGTAAAGTTTCTATTGGTAAACATAGTCATATTATTGCATGGGGAACTAAAGTTGATGGTCTTTACCATTTAAATGTTGCTAGAGACAATAATAAAATTGGTTCCTCTTCTGCTTATATCGATGTCTCTTGTGATGTTAATGTTGATTCTATTTTATGGCATATGAGATTGGGTCATATTAATTATAATAAAATAAAAAAGATGGTTAACATTAGATTAATTCCAAATATAGATCTTGACTTAAAACTATGTGAATCTTGTATAAGTGAAAAAATGACTAGAAAACCATTTGAAAAATTAGAAAAAGCTAAAGATTTGCTAGAATTAATACATTTGAATATATATGGTCCTCTAAATGTTAAAACCCCATCATGGTATGAAATATTTTATTACTTTCACCGATGACTATTCAAGATATGGTTATATATATTTACTAAAGAATAGATCGGATGCCTTTCAAAAATTTATTGAATTTAAGGCGAAAATAGAAAATCAACTTGGAAGAAAAGTTAAAATATTAAGGACGGATCGAGGTGGTGAATACACGGCTGAAATTTTTGAATTTTTTTGTAAAAGAAAATGGAATTATACATTAATTAACAATTTTTTATACACCTCAACAAAATGGTGTAGCGAGAAGGAAAAATAAAACACTTCTTATCATGGTTAGATCTATGTTTAGTTATTTACACTTAAGTACTACATTTTGGGATGAGGCTATCTCTAACGCTATTTATATTCTTAATAAAGTATCCTCTAGAACAATAGGAATGACACCATATGAAATTTGGAGGGATACAAAACCAATTCTTTCTCACTTAAAAGTTTGGGGTAGTTCGGCTTATGTTAAAATTTTAGGACCTAATAGAGGGAAATTAGATTTTAAATAAATAAAATATACTTTTATTGGATATTGTAAAAATTCTATTGGTTATAGATTTGTAATTCACTATAATGATGGATCAGTGGAAGTCAATGAAAGTAAAGATGTATTTTTCTTTGAAGATGACTTAGATAAAATTGAGAAAATGGTTGAACTATTTGAAATTACTAAGAAAAATGAAAATATACAACCACAAGAGTAAATAATAAAAGAGCCTCTGCCCAAGGATACTTTAAGTAGAATACAAAGGGAAAGACATCTGCTTAGTTACTTAAAAGATTATTATGCATTCAATAGTGAAGAAATTTCAAATGATCCTATTAATTTTAATGATGCTATGAATTCAATTGATCATTTAAAATGGAGAGAAGCAATTAAAGAAGTATAATCTATATAGAAAAACAAAGTTTGGGAGTTAATTGATTTACCAATAGATAGAAGAATAATNCTACTAGGTAGAAAAGTTAAAATATTAAGGACGGATTGAGGTGGTGAATACACGGCTAAAATTTTTGAATTTTTTTGTAAAAGAAAATGGAATTATACATTAATTAACAATTTTTTATACACCTCAACAAAATGGTGTAGCGAGAAGGAAAAATAAAACACTTCTTATCATGGTTAGATCTATGTTTAGTTATTTACACTTAAGTACTACATTTTGGGATGAGGCTATTTCTAACGCTATTTATATTCTTAATAAAGTATCCTCTAGAACAATAGGAATGACACCATATGAAATTTGGAGGGATACAAAACCAATTCTTTCTCACTTAAAAGTTTGGGGTAGTTCGGCTTATGTTAAAATTTTAGGACCTAATAGAGGGAAATTAGATTTTAAATAAATAAAATATACTTTTATTGGATATTGTAAAAATTCTATTGGTTATAGATTCGTAATTCACTATAATGATGGATCAGTGGAAGTCAATGAAAGTAGAGATGTATTTTTCTTTGAAGATGACTTAGATAAAATTGAGAAAATGGTTGAACTATTTGAAATTACTAAGAAAAATGAAAATATACAACCACAAGAGTAAATAATAAAAGAGCCTCTGCCCAAGGATACTTTAAGTAGAATACAAAGGGAAAGACATCTGCTTAGTTACTTAAAAGATTATTATGCATTCAATAGTGAAGAAATTTCAAATGATCCTATTAATTTTAATGATGCTATGAATTCAATTGATCATTTAAAATGGAGAGAAGCAATTAAAGAAGTATAATCTATATAGAAAAACAAAGTTTGGGAGTTAATTGATTTACCAATAGATAGAAGAATAATTGAGTGTAAATGGATCCTTAAGAAAAAATTTAAATCGGATGGATCTATAGATAAATATAAAGCTATACTAGTAGATAAGGGATACACACAAAAGGAAGGAATAGATTATGATAAAACTTATTCTTCCGTAGCTAAGTTTACCTCAATAAAAATATTAATGTCCTTTGTTACATACTTAAACCTAGAGTTACATCAAATGAATGTTAAGACTGTTTTCCTTAATGGTGAACTTAAAAAATAAATTTATATGTATCAACTGCAAGGATATGAAGTTGAAAGTAAAGAAGATAAGGTGTAAAAATTGAATAAGTCCTTATATGATTTAAAACAATCCTCAAGGCAATGGTATCATATTTTTCATAATATAATTATATTTTATGATTTTGTTCCAAATAACTATGATCATTGTATATATACTTGGAACAGTGGTAGTTATTATATTATTCTTTCCTTATATGTGAATGATATTTTACTTGCCGGAAATGATATAAATAGAATCTTAGAACTAAAAGATTGGTTAAACACCAAGTTTGAAATGAAAGATATGGGTGAAGCGCATTATGTACTTGAAATTAAAATTTCTAGAAATAGAAAGCAAAGAAAATTGAGTTTGTCTCAAAAATCTTATTTGAAAAATATTTTATAGAAATTTAAAATAGATTCTTGTAAACATATTGAATCACCCATTTACAAATGAGCAAAATTGTCTAAGAATATGGATTTTAAAACTGAAGAAGAAATACAAGAAATGAAATCTAAAACCTACGCGGAAGTTGTTGGTAGTCTTATGTATGCTATGTTATGCACTAGACCGGACCTTAGTTATGTTGTTAGTTTGATTAGTCGATATCAAAGTAATCCGAGTATACCTTATTGGTTAGCTGTGAAACGTATACTTAGATACATACAATGCACATTAATTTTTTTTTTTAACATATCAAGCTGATGATATATATGCTAATGGTTATTGTGATGTTGATTTTGATGGTGATATTGATGATAGAAAATTCACCACAGGTTATATATTTGTTTTTGGTGGTTGTGCTATTTCATGGTCTAGTAAAAGTAAGGTTGCATAGCTAAAAATACTATAGAAGCTGAATATGTTGCTTGTAGTATGACTATCTCCGAGGTCGTATGATTAAAATGGTTTCTAACTGATTTAAAGCTTGCATGTGTAGATAATATGTCTATTCGTATTTTTTGTGATAATGAGGTTGCGATAAAAACTATTAAAAATGGAGAAATCGGGGCCAAATGTAAGCATATTGAGTTACAATATCACTATTTAAGTGATACAATACAAAAAAACATCATGTTACTATTGATTATCTTTGTACAAAAGATATGGTTGCAGACCCATTAATAAAACCAATTGGAACTGAAAAATTTAAACGACATGTCGTTGCTATGAGTTTAAGTTATGAATGAACTTCTCGGGCTTATAGCTAAGTGAGAGATGTTGAAATATGTGGTTAAAATTGCTCGATATTAATTAAGTCATGATTGGTGGTCAAATCCGAAATAAATAAAACTTCAATCCATTGGTTAAATATTGCATTATTCATGACATATATCATGGATGCATTTTTTATGAAATTATTATGCATTAAATATTATTTTATAATGATGCATGCATACATATATATTACATTGATATAATTGAATGTTTAGATTGGATCTTTTCTAGTCAGCATGGGTGATTTGACTAGAGGAACCCATCAAGTAGTGAAAGACTTGTCAATCCTATTTGGAGAATTTTTAGTCTTCTTTGACCGTAGAGGTTGAGGAAATATTAGTAGAGTTTAGAAAGTATTGGGGAGTTGAGGATATTATGCTGAGTGGTAAACTCAACTCTACTGCTTTCATATTAAAGAAAATTTTTAATAGCTCTCCATTCATCAAATTTATTAAGTTCTATTCCGCAAATTTCCTACATTTCCCAACTATTAAGTTCCAAAGTGCCTTTATTTTTCCCCTTCAGAAAACATTTTAAGGTAGTCCAACATGGAAAAACCCCAATNTTCTCAAAGGCTAGCTCTCCATTCATCAAATTTATTAAGTTCTATTCCGCAAATTTCCTACATTTCCCAACTATTAAGTTCCAAAGTGCCTTTATTTTTCCCCTTCAGAAAACATTTTAAGGTAGCCCAACATGGAAAAACCCCAATTTATTTTCAAGATTTATTTAATTGTTCAATCCCTCAGTTTTCTGTTTTGGAAACTGTGGTGACCATACACATCAAAACCGCTTAATTGATGGCCAGGATGATCAGAGAAATGTCCAGCTGACTTGAGTCATCTGGTGGTTGTTATCACTTTCAATGGTTTCAAGATATCGATAGTGAAAATGAGAGCCATGGGCTCTGGTTGGAAGTCGAACTGTAAATGTACCTTTACTATTTTGTTTTTGACTCTCCAAGAGCTTCAGATTTTAGTTAGATATTCATTNACGGTTTCAAGATATCGATAGTGAAAATGAGAGCCATGGGCTCTGGTTGGAAGTCGAACTGTAAATGTACATTTACTATTTTGTTTTTGACTCTCCAAGAGCTTCAGATTTTAGTTAGATATTCATTAATTTTCAAACCCGTATCAAAGTTTTGTGTATGACAGTTTAATCACTTTAGGTGGGAGAAGGGGGAACTCAGCTTTCTGGAGGGCAGAAACAGAGAATTGCTATTGCAAGGGCACTGTTAAGAAACCCAAAGATATTACTTCTTGATGAGGCAACCAGTGCTCTTGATGCAGAATCAGAACTCATTGTTCAGCAGGCACTCAATACAGTCATGTCACATCGGACAACAATCATTGTTGCACACAGATTATCTACTATTCGTGATGTAGATACAATTATTGTCCTGAAGAATGGCCAGGTTGTTGAAAGCGGAAGTCACTTGGAGCTGATATCTAAGGACGGACAGTATGCAAATCTTGTGAGCTTGCAAGTATCTGAGCAAACAAAAGATCAAAGTATAGGCAAATGCGGTGAAAATCCTGATGTTTCTAGCTTTCACGAAATGCTCAACAGTCACAACCAGCAACAAGAGTTTAAGCCAATCACCACTAGAGAGCTGCAGCCAAGTGATGAAACCCCGGCCTCACCGATCTTCACTTCAACTCCATCAGTTTGGGAACTTGTTAAACTAAATGCACCAGAATGGCCCTATGCTTTACTTGGGTCAGTGGGTGCAATTCTGGCCGGCATGCAAGCTCCTCTCTTTGCTCTTGGAATTTCATATGTCTTGACTGCATTCTATTCTTATGATGATTCCCGAATCGAACAAGAGGTTAGACGGGTTTCACTCATATTTGTTGGAGTTGCTCTTGCTATGATACCTTTATATCTGTTGCAACACTATTTCTACACCTTGATGGGAGAAAGACTCACTACTAGAGTTCGCTTATTAATGTTCTCAGGTTTGTCTCTTCTCCTTAATGTCCCAGATGCTCTAATATTAACATTCCTGGTATTCAATACATCTCCATCACTCACTTATTGTTGTGAATTTCAGCTATTCTTTCCAATGAGATTGGCTGGTTTGATTTGGATGAGAATAGTACTGGCTCACTGACATCAAAGTTAGCAGCAGATGCAACATTAGTACGAAGTGCACTGGCTGACCGTCTATCAACAATTGTGCAGAATGTAGCACTCACTGTGACTGCGTTTGTCATTGCCTTTAGTTTCAGTTGGCGCATAGCCTCTGTTGTTATTGCCACATTTCCCCTACTCATTGGAGCTTCGATAACTGAGGCAAGTCCTAAAGAATCCATTGTTTCGTAATCTTCTTATCTCTGGCATTGTAGACACCTATTGCAACCAAGGCATAGAATATGTTGCTTTATAAGAATGAAATTGGTAATTTGTTCTCATGTTCTATGCTCATTCATACTATTCATCTGCAGCAACTATTTCTTAAAGGATTTGGAGGAGATTACACCCATGCCTACGCTCGAGCTACTGCAGTAGCACGTGAAGCAATTACCAATATTCGTACTGTTGCAGCATTTGGTGCTGAAAAGCGGATATCACTTCAGTTTGCCTGCGAACTCAACCAACCAAACAAGCAAACACTTCTGCGTGGCCACATATCAGGTTTTGGGTATGGTGTATCACAGCTCTTTGCATTTTGTTCTTATGCTCTTGGCCTTTGGTATGCGTCGATTTTGATCAAGCATCATAATTCAAACTTCGGAGACATGATCAAGTCCTTCATGGTTTTAATAGTCACAGCACTGGCAGTGGCAGAAACACTTGCTCTTGCACCTGACATTGTAAAGGGATCACAAGCACTTGGGTCGATTTTTTATATTCTCCATAGGAAAACGGCCATAGACCCTGACAATCCCACTGCAACAGTGGTAACGGATATCAAGGGAGACATAGAGTTCTGGAATGTGAGTTTTAAGTATCCCACGAGGCCTGNAAACCCTGACAATCCCACTGCAAAAGTGGTAACGGATATCAAGGGAGATATAGAGTTCTGGAATGTGAGTTTTAAGTATCCCACGAGGCCTGATATCGCCATTTTNAGACCCTGACAATCCCACTGCAACAGTGGTAACGGATATCAAGGGAGACATAGAGTTCTGGAATGTGAGTTTTAAGTATCCCACGAGGCCTGATATCGCCATTTTGGATGAATTAAAGCTAAAAATTTCAGCAGGAAAGAGTCTGGCAGTAGTGGGCCAAAGTGGATCAGGGAAGAGTACTGTGATTGCACTGGTGATGAGATTTTATGACCCTACGTCAGGCACAGTTCTGATTGATGGATTTGATATTAAGAGCTTGAACTTAAAATCTTTGAGGCTGAAAATAGGTCTAGTGCAGCAAGAGCCCGCATTGTTCTCTACTACAATTTATGAAAACATTAAGTACGGGAATGGAGAGGCATCAGAAATTGAGATAATGAAGGCTGCGAAAGCTGCAAATGCTCATGGTTTCATTAGCAGAATGCCTGAAGGGTACCAAACTCAGGTGGGTGACAGGGGAGTGCAGTTATCGGGTGGACAAAAACAAAGGGTAGCGATTGCTAGAGCAATACTGAAAGACCCATCAATTCTTCTTTTGGATGAAGCAACGAGTGCTTTGGACACTGTTTCCGAAAAGCAAGTTCAAGAAGCTCTTGATAAGCTTAGGGAAGGCAGAACAACAATTTTGATAGCACATAGATTGTCAACCATACGTGATGCGGACAGTATTGCCGTGTTACAACGTGGGAAGGTGGTTGAAAGTGGTAGCCATCACCAGCTTATTAGCAATCCTGGGAGTATCTACAAACAACTAGTTAGTCTACAACAGGAAACAAACATACAAGTCCATAATCAAGAGAGCTTGACAATTGAGGATCAAAATTTGTAAGCATAATAAGATAAGGTAATGCTTATCAACAGTTGACACGTAGTGCATATTAAAAATGTTTATCATTCAGGAGGAAATTAATGAGGAGATAATCCAAGAAGCGCCATCTTCTCTGATCATGTGGATGTCTCAATCTTTTATGCCATGCCTACCATGAAACGTTGTCTACCCCTTTATTTGACGACTCATTTGCAGTGCCTATTCTTTTGAGCATGAAGTTTGTTCATCAGCCATTATTGTACACTACACAGAAGATATACAAAAGAATATTATGTACGCTTCTCTTTTCCTTACCAAGTATGTTCTGAAATTTTGCTGAAAATGAAATTATGTTTTAATGTTTAAAATGTCATAAAATAAACTTTTGGTCGTATCATTTTTATGTCGTGTCACTTTTGATCGTGTTATTTTCGTGTCATATCACTTTCAGTACGTGTCGGGTTCGTATCAATATTCGTGTCAATAAAAAATTATTTAATTTGACAACAATTAAAATAATACTATTTAAAAAATGATAAAATTTGTATTTTCTATCTACAGTATTTATCAATCAATGTTATTCATGTCAAATTTTAATTTGACTCATTTATTACTCGTGTCAACTAATTATTTTATTTTCAAATTTGTGTCGGATTCGATTCGAATCAGGTTTGTGCTAGGGAAAAAAATGACACCCCAGTAGAAGTAGAAGGGACATGACAGTGGAATCTCACCAAAATCACAAGGTACCAAAGAAAGTGGAANTCAAATTTTAATTTGACTCATTTATTACTCGTGTCAACTAATCATTTTATTTTCAAATTTGTGTCGGATTCGATTCGAATCAGGTTTGTGCTGGGGAAAAAAATGACACCCCAGTAGAAGTAGAAGGGACATGACAGTGGAATCTCACCAAAATCACAAGGTACCAAAGAAAGTGGAATTAAGAAGCTATTGATCAGTAGGTGGGAAGTTGGTCACGAAAAAGCACATGCACATGGCCATGGGGCTCTCTTNCCAAAATCACAAGGTACCAAAGAAAGTGGAATTAAGAAGCTATTGATCAGTAGGTGGGAAGTTGGTCACGAAAAAGCACATGCACATGGCCATGGGGCTCTCTTTTCAGCTCATCCCATGTGCTTCACAAAATTTGGAGTGTAGACTACTCAACAATTTCATGACTTAGTATCATAATACAGATGGGATTAAATTATTTACAAGCAAGCTCGTAAACAGTCCATCAAAATTTAGGAGTTACATAAACATGTAAATCAATGTTAAGAATTCTCAATGAATTTGTGTAGTTCCTCAATTTTAATTGACTACTTATAAACAATTTATTTATAGATTACCTGTAAAGAATCTATTTTCAATGCAGATATGGACTTATTAGCAAACACCAAAAAAATAACGAATACGAGCCTCAAAAATTAGAAGAGACTTTAATACAAGTATCACGCGTCTAAAATTTTTTATCAAACGAGTGCAAAGACGAACTTTGACAATTGAAAGACTTTCAGATCAATCTCAATGAGTAGTTCAAGTGATAACAAAAATGAGTTATAAATTCAGATATCTTGAATTTGACTCTTAGCAACTTTTTTGGGTCAACTCATGAGTGATTTATCTCCTAAGTAATGTTGTATAGACTTAAAAAGTAGACAAAAAAACTAGATTTAATAATTATAACAATTTATTTCCCTGCAACATTTATTATGACTCACTACCTATTCAATAATTAGGATTATCAAGCCTAGTTTTTAAGTTTAACTTTTAAATCCATCTAACATAACTCTTTATTCTTTATAAGTACCTTAGTTCCAATAGGAATGATTCATAATCGATTACTCATATGTAAGTAAGGCCTGAACTTTTTGCTTGGTTGCTTGGTTGCCTATTTAGGGTGCCCTAACTAATAAGACTATCTTGCTTTCTCTTGCGGATCATCATATCAATTAGGAGGAGAGTGAGGAGAGTAAAAAAACGACAAAAGAGTACGTGAAAAGAATGAGTCAAAGGGTAAATTATAAGGCCCAACGACAAACTAATTGACGATTGTACTAAGAAGATGATTAATCGATGTGCACACAAACAAACTCGGGCACCCCCTCGTTGTTAAAAAAAACAAACTCTTGAAAGTAATTAATGTCTAGGGTTCTACAGAGATTGTTATAAAGTGAAGCACATATAGCTAGTGAGTAATGTCCAGAGTTCTAAAGAGATTGTTATAAAGTTAAGCACATATCCCTAGAAAATATGGAGGGTCAGCAAAAGAACAAGTACATGAGGCTCTGTATTGGGCTCCTCCCAAGTGCTTCACAAACTTTGGAGCACAAAGTACAAACTACTTGGCGTAGCCGGCGGGTGGGTCAATTTTAAGGATTGATCTTGGAAACATTCCACAGTATAAATCTATTTTGTCGTAGCATGTTGATTGATCAAGTTCTGGATGAATTGGATAAGTTGAGGTTAAAGTCTACGGTACCATAATACTTGAATTATTAAGGGGTCATCCAATCATGCGTGCACGTTCGTTGCAGGCTGCCATTTTTTTTGGCAGATATTCTTTTAAGATTCTATGACAAATCAATTGTTGGGAAAAGTAACCTTATAATCTTTTAAGATTCTATGATAAATCAATAAATTCTTATACTTATAATCACTCATAAATAATAAGAAATTACTGGTAAAAATTTTTCTTTGCATATTTATTTTTTTTGGATTAATTGCACCAGAGGTCCCCAAAATATAAAATTTGTCTCATTTTGGTTCCTAATGTTTCAATTGCATCATTTTGGTCCCTGAAGTATTGAATATGTTTTTATATGGTCCCTTAAGTAGACAGTGTTCAAATTATTAATGATTTTTTATCACAAATTTGTCACATGATATTTAAATGTGAACAAAAAAATAATATGGATAACTCTTGACCAAATTTTTACTTAAATTTTAGTTAAAAATCTATTTAAATTACACAATTTTGATCATGAGTTATCCAAATTTTAGTCAAAAACTACCCGTATAGAAACATATTTAATACTTCAAGAACTAAAATAATACAATTAAAATATTAGGGACTAAAATAAGACAAATCTCATACTTTAAAGACCTCTAATGTAATTAAGCTTTGGTTTTTTTTTTTCCACAGAATGTGAATAGGTCTTTACCTACTTCTTCGCTACGAGATAGAATGATTTATCCTACCAATTGGGTTCACCAAATGGAGTTCTAAGACGTAGCCCCGTATAATAACAATTATAAACACTGAAAGGGATTTAAAAAAAAAAATCACTAATAAATAAGTGTCGAAGGAGACAGGTAGAACGACTTGGGTATCTAGCGAATTGTCTAACGAAACAAATAAAAAATAACACAATTAATGATGTGAGCTTGGTACTTATAAGAACTAAAATTACTATTTAGTGGCGTTTAAAATTTTGTGGATCGATAAAGTTTTGGGGTCTATTCTAATTTTTTTAGATCAATTGTAATTGATTATCAAAGTCATAATTTGGCTTATGTGATTATAATATTCAATGAAATAATTATTATGTTTTTTAGTATTTGATAAAATTGTATAAGTGTAATAAATGATTTGAATATTTGTTTCATTAAAACGGACACAAATTGAAAAAAAGAATGAAGTTTGGGAACAAATTATAAGAACCGAATAAAATAATTAAACTTTTGAACTAATTTTTTATATTAATTGAACCCCTAAATTCTAAAATTTTAGCAATTAAGCTCTTATTTAAGTAGTCGTTAAATTTTTGAATAGAATATCTCACGTGTTCATCACAAGAGCAACAAATGAGGGATTAGTCCATGTTCATGTGATGAGATGAGCATGCGAGACATAAGAGCTTAATTATTAAAATTTTAGAGTTTAGGAGTTCAATTAATACGAAAATTAGAACCTCAATTGCTAAAATATTTAAGTTTAAGGGATTAGTTAATACAAAAATTAGTTTAAAAGTTTAATTGATATAAGGATCATAATTCAAGGATTAGTCATGTAATTTAGTCTAAATTAAAGCAGCATAGCACCTGAACTGAGCCGATGGGGGCATAATAAAGGAAGAGAGAGAGAGAGAGAGAGAGAGAGAGAGTTCCGTTTGTGGCAAATGATAGGGTGAGTGTCTGAGAGTTCGATAATATTAGCTGGCAAAAGGTTGTCTGGATCATCCAACGGTTCAACTGCATTTGTTCACCCCCTCCCATAGGTAAGTTTAGTGTCCTCTCTCTCTCTGTTTACCCACATTCCCTTTTCTCTGTCTAATAACTCAAGAACCATTCTTAATCAAGGTTTGATCTTGCTCAAATTTGTGACTCACTGCTTTATTTTTGTTAGGGTTTTGAGGGTTTTGAATTTTTTTCTCTTGATCCGATGCCAATTTCAACCAGGATCGTTGGAATCTGAAGAAGCAGACCCAAAAGGAGGGTTGTTGAGAAGGGTTGTTCTTGATTTATTGAAAGATCTGGTGGTTGGCTGGTGGAAATGAGCGCGTCGAGGTTCATAAAGTGCGTGACGGTCGGCGATGGTGCTGTTGGCAAAACCTGCATGTTGATTTCCTACACCAGCAACACTTTTCCTACGGTGAGCTTTTCTAACTTCTGGTACTTCGATTTGAACGGCTTTCTTGAAAATGTTAATTTCTTTTGGTAATCTTTGCAATTTTTTTATTTTGATTCGCCGCTGTGCAAGAAATATGCTTTCTTTTTCGAATAAAGGGTAGACAAAACCTGATCTTTTCTGATTTTTTGAACTTTTTCATTAAAATTTGTTGTTAATTCGCATTGGAGAGAATTTTTTTTTTTTTATGTTGGTTTAATGCTAATCACATCTGGGTTTTGAATGTAAGGAAATCTGGGTTCAAAACTATNTTTTTTTTTTTATGTTGGTTTAATGCTAATCACATCTGGGTTTTGAATGTAAGGAAATCTGGGTTCAAAACTATCATTGTTTAATGCTTAAATTTGTGCAGTTAGGACCATTTTATGCTAATTGCTTAATAGGTATCAGTCTGGAATCTTATGTGCTTATGATTGTGCTTGGTGGTTCTTTTTGGATACCCTGTTCTATCTCTGCTTTTGGTAGTTGTATTTGGGAGAATAGTTGCCCACTTCTCGAGTTTTGACTTCTTTTTCTCTCGTACTGTGAAACAGGATTACGTGCCGACTGTTTTTGACAATTTTAGTGCAAATGTGGTTGTTGATGGGAGTACTGTCAACCTTGGTTTATGGGATACTGCTGGTACTTTTGGACTGCTATGATCAAAACTGACAGTCTTATGTGTCTGACAATCCTGTTTTGGACTAACTGTACCAATTATTTGAACAGGTCAAGAGGATTACAATAGGTTAAGACCTTTGAGCTATCGTGGAGCCGATGTCTTTCTTCTGGCGTTCTCTCTCATTAGCAAGGCCAGCTATGAAAATGTTGTAAAGAAGGTTAGGACCCTAGAATAAAGTCCTATTTCTTGGGCAACATTTTCTTATGCTATGCACTCTTGGTGTGCTGACAATTTGTTTCTCTCATGACTTCCATTCCAGTGGATTCCTGAACTGAGGCATTATGCTCCTGGTGTTCCAATAATTCTTGTTGGGACAAAGCTTGGTAAGAGTCCTATTCTCCAATAGATCGTGTACTATTAGACTGTGCTTCGTATTTGTTTGTTTGTTTGTTTTGGGCTAGTCTTGTAAACCAAATAGGGACTATTAGGACCTTTATCCAAGGTTTTAAATGTACTCAATAACAGGGAGAATTTAGATACCCAATCGAACACCTGATCAGTAATGAGTTTACCTTATCCTATAGTTGGCATGTAAGTGTAGTGGTTTGCAACTGAGCCCTCATTTGTGAACATGTTGGAAAAAAGATATATGTTCTACTTTTGCAAACAGTAGTTCTACACTTCTACTAGATGTTGGACTGATAATGAAAGCTTCCTATGCCTTGCTTTTGTTGCTAACCTAGATAGATCGTGTATTAACTCTGCCTTAAACTGTTACTGGTACATCCATCTGCCACTAGTATCTCTCATCCGTTGTGCATTGAAAATTTTTATCTGAGTGTATATTTGACGACTTTGTCGAGAGTATGTCTTGTGACGAAGGTGCCTCATGTTTTATGATCTTTTTCTTCTGCAGATCTTAGGGATGATAAGCAGTTTTTTGTAGACCATCCAGGTGCGGTGCCCATTACCACAGCTCAGGTGAGCACCACGGCATTCCATGTCAATCTTCTGTTTTTCTTTCTTCTGGATCTTGCCATCTTTAATCTCTTTCCTTTTTCATGGAAGGGTGAGGAGCTGAGGAAATTGATTGGAGCTCCTGCATACATTGAATGTAGTTCAAAAACACAGCAGGTACATCCTTTTCTCATCTTAATTCAAAGTGGGAAAGTTGCTTCAGTCCTTGTACATTGATGGCATGTGTTGTCTCCTTGTAAATGCAGAATGTGAAAGGAGTTTTTGATGCAGCCATTAAGGTAGTGCTCCAACCACCCAAACAAAAGAAGAAGAAGAAGAAGGGGCAAAAAGCCTGCTCCATTTTGTGATCCAAGTGAAGAGTAGGTTTGTCAGAAGATAAGATGACCTATCAGTTTCTCTCAATGCAGTCTGTCCGCCGCTTTTCTAGTTCTTTCCCTTACAGAAAGCAGCAAGCCTTTTGTATAGTCTCCAC